AGGCGCTGGAGACCCCACTGGCGCGCCGGGAACTCGTCCTTGAGACCCTTGCCCTTGAGGCCGAGCGTCTCGTTCTTGCCAACGGGCAGGTCGTTACCCTCGGGAGCAGCGACGAGGTCATCGATCACGGTCACGGTGGCGTCGTCGGGCGTGGTTTGAGCGCCAAACGCCGTGGCAGCAAGGAGGAGGGCACCGAGGAAAACGCGCATGTTGATGGAGAAGGTCAAAGTCAAAATGAACTGCAAAACGAGAGCCGCCTTACAGCCCGAAATTTCATTCGCTTCTCAGTGCAAAAGATATGGGTATCGCCCGTCGATCGTTGCATGTATGACCAGATCAACTACGACCTTGCCATTTTGAATGCTATAAAACGACCAACGACTACGAAAACGGTGACAACGACTTGGGTTGATGTGACGTACTCAACGGTATCTTTGAGCGTGCTGCACACTCACGGTGAAAGATACTACGTCGAGGCAAACATCCGACGTCGTCACGTGCTGCACGGAAGAGATCAGAGCAACATATTGCACAGTCCAAGTACCTTCGTACAGCGAGCGACAAGTTGGTCGTTCGTGCATTTTTGATGAATGTACCGGTATATGATTGGGATTATGGCGGTGTCAGAACAACCTTGCAGTAGAATGTAAATAGTCCGTGTTCGTACCCTTGTGCCGTCATGCATTGCTCGCATGTTGGTACGAAGCGACGTAAATTGACGAGGTGTCGAGACGACCGCATACTCTGATAATTCCTGTCACGAAAATGGGTGCCGCTGTGTGCATATCTGAGAAATAGTCAGAGCATCGAAACACCTTGGCATCAGTAAAATGCCCCTTCCATAGTAGACTAGATACTACTGTAGCAGTAGTTTCTAGCTTCCGTGGTACGCGTACGCAAAGGTAGCCGACACCCAACCACTCTGGACTACTTGGCCTAGTCCAAGTCTTTCTAGCAATACGTCACTCCGATCTCGTCCGTGCAGCACGTGACGACGTCGGATGTTTGCCTCGACGTAGTATCTTTCACCGTGAGTGTGCAGCACGCTCAAAGATACCGTTGAGTACGTCACATCAACCCAAGTCGTTGTCACCGTTTTCGTAGTCGTTGGTCGTTTTATAGCATTCAAAATGGCAAGGTCGTAGTTGATCTGGTCATACATGCAACGATCGACGGGCGATACCCATATCTTTTGCACTGAGAAGCGAATGAAATTTCGGGCTGTAAGGCGGCTCTCGTTTTGCAGTTCATTTTGACTTTGACCTTCTCCATCAACATGCGCGTTTTCCTCGGTGCCCTCCTCCTTGCTGCCACGGCGTTTGGCGCTCAAACCACGCCCGACGACGCCACCGTGACCGTGATCGATGACACCACCGTGACCGTGGTCGACCGTCTTGTCGGCGCCCCCGAGGGTAACGACCTGCCCGTTGGCAAGAACGAGACGCTCGGCCTCAAGGGCAAGGGTCTCAAGGACGAGTTCCCGGCGCGCCAGTGGGGTCTCCAGCGCCTTGAAGTCTGGACGGACCAGTACTTCCACTCCAAGCCGCTCGACCAGTGGGTCACGGTCTGGGGTGGCGTCGTGAACCTCCGCTGCCGCAACTGCGGCGGCGGCCGCGCCTGGGAAGTCATGGAGTCCGAAGGCTCTTCGAGCTACGACATGCTGCGCAACGTCCAGGACAACTTGTGTCTCGACGCGTACTGGAGCAACGCCGCTGGCAAGCCGCTCGTGCACGGCTATCAATGCCAGCCGGGCAACATCAACCAGCGCTGGGAGTACTCTCGCTACAACTCGGCGACGATGATCAAGCACAAGTACTACGAAGGCTGGTGCTTGCTCATCTACCCCAACGGCGACGCCACCATGGCCAACTGCGGGAACAACTGGAACGACGTGCACTTCAACTTTATCGCGTAAAGTTGCGACGAAAACCTGTGCACTATTGCGACATTTGTGTAAGACGGACGTGAATGAATGTTTTCCGTTTGACTTTGTGTGTGTTGTCTCTTTGGTCTAGTGCAACGGTGGCATCGTGCATACAGCTGTCACGTATACGCGTGTCGGAAGCAGCTGGTCGCATCACATGTGCTTGTGAGATATTTCGACGTGTTGGTGTGGGACGGTGTCGAGGTAGCGTGTGTTCAAGATAGGACGACTCGCCAAAAAGCGGCGCCGTCAACTAGTGAGTTGTGTCTATTGTCGAGATCACTATGGAGTCGTCAAGGTTTGCTGCGTCAGAGACAAGAAGAGTACCAGACACCAAGGCGCTAGTGTCAAAGAAGCCGACTTGTCGATGAAGAGCGTAGACTTGCCGATGAAGAGCGTAGACTTGCCGATGAAGAGCGTAGACTTGCCGATGAAGAGCGTAGACTTGCCGATGAAGAGCGTAGACTTGTCGAGCGTAGAGGAAGCTAGAGAAGGTCGACGAAAGTTGTACCGGTCGAAAACAATGCCTCCGCGCAGAAACGTACAAGAGTGAGCTGCCGAGCCCACGGCGGGATTTCATCATGAGCGCCAGGTGACGTGATAGCAATTCCGGTCCGAATGAGACGGGTCGCGATATCTTTGACCAGTTAGCTGCCAGGGCCAGCTACCGACTTGCGTGTGCTAGCTACAATGCAGCTACTGGAAACAGCCAGCTTTAGACATGAGCTGGCTGCCGACGCTAGCCGGTGACGAGGAGTGTTAGAGCATTACGACAGATCGCCACATGCGAGAACCAGTTTCGGCCGCGCTGCGGAAGAGGTCGACGACACATATCGTGCCTGTTGGGTCGTCACCGCTCGCATCAAGTAGCTTTCTGAATGCGTTTGACGCGTTCGTAGAAGGGTGGCCGTTGCGTGGTCGCTGAAGCTGGCATACTTCAAATATGCGAGTGCATACGGAGCACTACCGGCTACCGGTACGAGGCTGAGGCACTCGCTTGAAGCCACGTTGGTTTCTTTGTATGTTCTTTCATTCCGTACTACAATGCCCCGCCGAAAAAGCAGGTCATGGACGAGAAGCTGACGTATTCATTGCTTTCTTCCATCCAAAACAAACGAAAAAGGGCCCAACCGGTAATCGAAACCGGGACCTCTCGCACCCAAAGCGAGAATCATACCACTAGACCAAAGCTGCGGGAGTCCACGACAGTGTACGACGTGGGATACCAGGTCGTCCTTCGTGGTGTTGCGGGTAAGCCGCATGCGGTGCTTCGCGCGCCGAAACGCTGCTAAAGCGGCCACGGCCCCCGAACAACACCTCAACACCGCCATCTCTCTCGCTACCATCAACATCAACAACATTCCCGACAACGGCCACCTCTTGATCGAAAACTTGCTCAGCCTGTACTCGCTCACGGCTCTGCAAGAGGTCAAGCTTCGTGACTACAAACACCTCAAAGGTTTTACGTACCACCTCAACACGACGTTCGGCAACGACGCGTACTTCCTCGCCGTGACGGACCACCGCAAGACGCTGGAGTCGTCGAGCGCCGGTCGGAGCGGCGGCGTCATGACCTTGGTCATGTCGTCATTCCCTGGCTTTGCGGAGCTCCAGCACCTCGAGCATTTGGACGTCGTTGACCGCTATCACGTGCTACAGACGCGCTGGGATACCACGGTCATCTACATCCACAACGTCTACGCACCGGTGCAACATAGCGCCCGACGAGCTTTCTATGCGTCGCTGCCGACGGCCTTCGAGGACGACGCGCGCCACATTGTGCTCGGTGATCTCAACATGCCGCTCGACCTACATCGGGACGTCTACCATGTCGGCGCTCAGCACTGGACGGGCCGCGACGCTGGCCTCGAATGGCTTTCCAACTTGGACGTGGTCGACACGTGGCGCAAACACAACCCGTCGGGCCGCGCATTCTCAGGGCCCGGTCGACTCAACCGCCTCGACTACATTCTGGTCGACGCGGCGTTGGCCGCTGCGCGCTACAAATCCAGCTCATATCATTCCCACGACAACGCCGGTGATCATTGGTACCACTGTGTCCAGTTGAGTCCTCCCGGCGTGGAACCCGGCAAGGGCTACTGGAAGCTGCCACGTGAGTTGCTGCACGACGACGACGTCCGCGACACGATCTTGGCCGAGGCGCAGGCGTTCCTGCCGGTCCTCGAAGCGGCAAACAACCCGGGAGTCGTCTGGTCCGGCTGGATGAAGCGCGTGCGCAAGGTGCTGCAAGACGTCCAGCGGTACCGACATCAAGCCGACCAAGCCGCGCTCCGACACGAACAACAAAGCCTTGCAGTGGCCAAGCGCCATCACGCCGCGGGGCTCGTCTCGGACGCAGACCTTCAAGTCGCTCGTGCCACGGCGCAGGCCGCATCGGAAGCCCGCCGGCGCGCCTCGCGCGATCGACGGTTTGACGTGCAGCTCAAGCAGATGGAAACGTCGTCGACAGCGTTCTTCACGCCGCCGACTGCCCACATGCAGAACGTGCCCGTCGCCGGCGCTATTGACGTCGATGGCCGTCGGGTCACCGGCGCCGATGGCGTCGCCCGAGCGTTTCAACAGCACTGGAAATCGATTTTTACGCGCGCCGACGGCACGGCGCCCAACCGACGAGTCCGCCGCCAAGTGACGCGGCGCCTGAGCCGACGACTGACGGAAGCCCAGAAGGCCGCGCTCGCGGAACCGCTGACGGACGAGGACTTTGCCTCGGCGATCCGGACGATGCGCGCTAACGGCGCCCCGGGCCTCGACGGCTTTTCCGCTGAATTTTACAAGCTGGACCCGAACCTCTTTGGCCGCATGCTGCGCATCGTTTTTGCCGCGCAATTGGCTCGTGGCCAGATGCTGCGTCGACACCGTGAGTCGGCGGTCATCATGCTCTACAAGAACGGCGACCGGGAGCTGCCCAGCAACTACCGGCCGATCACGCTCATGTCGGTCGAGCTCAAGGTGCTCTCGCGCGTGCTGGCCCACCGTCTGGCGGTCGTGCTTCCGTCCCTCATCCACCCCATGCAGACGGGATTTGTCCGCGGGCGCCGGATCCACGACAACTTGTGCTTGCTCGAGTCGATCCAGACATATGTCTCGACTGACTTCGACAACAAGGGTCTTGCGACTTTTCTCGACTTTTCCAAGGCCTTCGACCGCGTCGACTGGAACTTTATGTTCGGGTGCATGGCCCAAGTCGGCATCCCGCCCGAGTTTACGCAGTGGGTGCGCCTCTTGTACATGGGACCCGTCGTCTCCATATTCATCAACGGCCACAAGGCGCCGCCGATATGGCCCAACCGTGGCGTCAAGCAAGGGTGCCCGCTCTCGCCGCTGCTCTTCGTGCTGACGATTGAGCCGCTGAGTGAAATGCTGCGCCGCAAGGACGGCCTGGGGATACCGCTGCCGTGTGGGTATTGGGCGTGCGGCGCGCTCTTCGCCGACGACGTCACGCTTTTCTCGGACAACGCCGCATGCCTCGACGATCAACTCGAGATCGTCGAGGCATACTGCGCCGGGTCTGGAGCCCAACTGAACCGCGACAAGAGCAAGACCATCGTCCTCAACAACCAACGGCCGATCGGCGGCTGGCCTGGCATCAACCTCGTCCCCTCTGGCGTCGCAGTCAAGTACCTCGGCGTCCTCTTTGGTCACAAGATCGGGAACGCAGAACGCCTCGCCGTCCTCGACAGCCGCTTCTACAAGTGCTTCAGCACATGGGGTGTGCGCGGCCGGACGCTCCGTGGTCGCCGCCTCATCGTCCAAGCCATTGTCATGTCGATGCTTCGATACTACACCGAAGTCGTCGTGGTGCCGCCGGACCGGCTGGACAAGTGGCAAGCCATGATCAACCGGTACGTCATCTGCCGCAAGTCCCGGCCAAGCGACAAGAGCATGATCCTTGTCCGCACGCCGGTGATGCACGACCCCGACGTCGGCTTGAACCTGCCACACGTCGAATCGATGATCGCAAGTCAACGCCTGCGGCGGTTGCAGCTCCTGCTACGCCTCTGCACGGACGACACCCAGCAGTGGGCTGGCCTGGTCAGCTGGCAGCTCGAGACCTGCATCGCGCCGTATGGCCGACCCGACCACCCGGACTTTTTGTACTACCATCCGTGCATATCGACGCAGCTGATCGACCTCGCCGAAGTGTCGCCGCTCTGGCGTGACATCTGGTCGCATTGGCACAAGCTTCCGTGGACGCTCAAGTCCTACACGGCCCCCACGGCGCTGCAACACCTGGCCGACCTGGTTGACACCCCGATCTGGCTCCAAGTACTCCCGACGTTTCATGTGACTCGCTCGGTGACCCAAGAGATGTGCCTCGCCGTGAAGCTCGGGTACCACCGCCCGTTCTACGCCGCGGTTGCTGCCTCAGACCTCCGCACGCTGCGCTCGTTCATGTCCGCCAGCGGCGAGTGGCCGACACTCCCGCAATTTACGGCGTTGGTGAACGGCCGCGTCGCAGGTTCCGACGCGCCCCGACCCGTGTCGCTCGCCGTGCTCTACAAGGACATCACGCACATTTGGCAAGCCGCGTGCCTCGCCTCGGGCGCCACCGGGGGTGCGTTCCCAGCACTGCCGCTCGGCACGCGCACGCCGTTCATGCTCCTTCCGTTCTCGGACGCCCGGGTTCCTATCGAGACGGCGCCCCACGCTATTGTACGCTCAACCGCGTCGACTAGCCCCGTGGTCACGGAGGTGCAAAACCACCCTTGGGTCTCGACGCTGCGCCCATCACTCTACGCGATCCAGGCCTCCCAAGTGGGGTTCATGGAGTCGTACAAGTTCGCCGCGCCGGTGTACAGCGACCTTTGGCGCCGCATGCTCTTCAAGATGCTACCGCTCAACTACAAGTTCGTCTTCAAGCAGGACACCGACGCCCACGCCCTCGACTGCACGCGTGCCGACTGCGTCGCCGTCGAAACCGAGTGCCACGCGCTGTGGGAATGTCCCGCAGTGGCCCCCTTGTGGGAGTGGCACTTGGCCGCGTGGTCGCGGGCAGGCATCTCGTGGTCCTGGGAGACCGTGCTGCACCCGGAAGAATTTGACGTGCCGCAACGGCTCGTAAAGGCCTACAAGGTCTTCTACCGCCTCTGGTTCAGCCTGGTCGCCACGACGTTGCACTACATCTGGACCAACCGCAACAAGATCAAGTTCGAGTCCAAGACGCCCTTTATCATGCCAGTCGCCGGAAGCGAGACTCGCGAGCTGTGGCTCTCGTGTGTCCGCGCGTGGCTCCGCAACGACCCCAAAGCACCGCGCAGCCGCATCGACGCCGCGCTCCAAGAACTCGGCCTCGCCCCGCTCTCCAACGGCCGCCAACGGCGACCTGCGCTCCGCCGCCCGACCTCGTAGGTCTATTTATGCGACCTCGGGGTCCGGCAGCGCGCCAACGTCATCCCGAGACGTGATCAAGAAAACAAGAAACAAGAAAAACAAGTACCGCGGAACCTAGACACGCCTTTTTAGGATAGTGAAAAGAAGTTCTACTGAGTGAGTCCTTTCTCGGAAGGGCAATATCAATATACGCTCATTTGCCGGTCATACCACTAGACCATTAGGCCGCCTCATGCACGCTGAATCTTTCCCGCAGAGACAGCTCGGAGCTTTTTTAGAGCGTCGCCAACGTGCAGCAGCTATTCAAGATGAAGGCGCTCATGGAGAAGGAAAAAGCGTACCTCGTCCACGGTGGCGACTGCAATGTCACGACGCGCTTTGTGGCGCCGTCTCTCTTCAACTACAAGGACGACATGGCGGCCTTTAATGCGAGCGCGCTCATGGACGACGAGCTCTTTGGTCCGCTGCTGCCGATTGTTTACTACAGCGACTTTGCCGCAGTCCTTGAAACCATTCGGTTCAAGCCCAAGCCACTGGCGCTCTACGTCTTTAGCCGCAACGAAGACCGTATCCAAGCAGCGCTACAGCACACGTCGTCGGGCAGCGTCGTCATCAACGACTGCGTCATGCAGATGGGCAACTTGAATCTGCCGTTCGGCGGCGTCGGCGGCTCGGGGCTCGGGACGTACCACGGACAGCGCTCGTTCACGACGTTCAGCCACACGAAAGCGGTGTTGCGCAAGTACTTTTGGCTCGACTTGCCGCAGCGCTACATGCCCTACACGCGTCTCTCAACCGTCATTGTCCGCGCCGTCATGACGCCACTGCCACGGACGCTGCTGCGGCGGTCCATGGCGCTGTTTGCGATGCTCTCGCTCATGTGGCTGCGTCGTCCGCGCGTTCTGACTCTCGTGACGCGTCTTTTGCAGGTCCTCCGCGAGGCATGAAGATAGAAGTGTATTGACACGCAATTGAGATGTAGTAGGAGCATGTTTAACTGGAACACTCTACTCTTTCGTAAGATGCATCCATCACTGCTTGACGGTCACCCACCGCACCTTTGCAGCAGCTGACACTCTATTGCACTCAATGCTGGTACCAAAATGACCTGATTCGGCCAACAAAACTTGGTTGCGAGAAAAGTGAGTGGGCTATTCCACAACGAAAGGGCCCGCGAAGAGCTTCCGCGAAGAAGTGGTGTGTGGCGTCATCATTGAGTTTAGCTCAGCCCCATGGGCGAGTATGTACATGTC